GAAAGTATGTCCAATTTACAGTAAGCATATTACATACGCAGGCAATCTTCACTCAGACTCATCTTCCCTGCACAGCTATAGACTTCACTCTTGATAACATGGATGGTAAGTTAACTGATTTCAGTTATTTTTGTCTTGGTTTAGTTTGATTTTTTATCATAATGTGATTTAAAAAGTCAATCTAAATCAGTCTGCTGGTGTTGCAGCGCTGCTCTCTTTCATGACTCAGTTTTCAAAATGTAAGAGTGAAAAGTATCCTATGTGAAAAAAGTTTCTTCGCTTAAGTCATTTGACGGCAACTTTACCACAACAGATTAACTTAAAGTACATTGTTGAACAATGATTAGTCAGAAGAGATTAGACACATAATGTGTTCTTGATCTTTAATATTCTCATCATCGGCCTCTTTTTATGCATTGTAACCATTCTTCATTCTCTTACTGTAATATGCTAATGCCGCTATTTTATAAATACTGACTTCTGTTTCGATTGGGATTTTTGACCAATTAGGATTTTCATGTATATAATCTATAATGAATCATGACTATTGAAAATAGATAAATTGTCTTTAAAAAGTCAAATCTGCCTGTTAGTTGTTCTAAACAATATTTAGCTGATCATTTGTATTCCTATGTAATATACAATATGTTATACTTCTTGTCAGCTTCAGATTTAATTCACTTTGTTTGACGGGCCTTCTGATCTCCTGGAAAAAAGAGATTTGTGGTGTTTTTTTAGATTACAATCACCAAAGCAAGTATAAACAATAACACTAAAAAGTGAACACGTTACATTTTAGTTAATTTTTCAGTTCAGTGTTACAAACCATGGCAACAAGTGCGTCTGAGCCATGTTCATCACTTTTTAGTGTCCCCTGGTAACAATATTCACTGTCCTCTAATCCTGCACTTCATGGTCTTCCAGATGTAGAATTACTTTTACCTCTTGTTCTTGTGGACTTTCTTGACATCTGTGTGTATAAGTGATTTTAAAAGTGAAATTCAAATGTTCAGGATTAGTTAGTTAATTCGTATTTTAGTAAATTCTTGTAAGTTAATATGTTAATGTAGACAGATATTTTTTTTTCATTTTCACTTTTGTCATGTTATATTACTGATAATGATGATATCCATGCAAAAATCGTATGTAAATCAACACTTTCTGCAGTGAAAATACATTTGTAAATAATGCAGATCAGACCGAATAAAGTTTTAGCTTGCAGTGGTACTTTGTTTGGTGCATGTTCATGATGGATATTAAGATGAATAGCAAGGCCTGCAACTTCATTTGATGAAAAGAAATTCAGCACGTATTCGCTTTGTTCAGTCAGGAAGTGAAAATGGCGCTCAAACTCTGAAGATATATAAAGAACACTGCACGTGACAGCAAGTGAAAGAGAAACTAGAATAAAAGCAGAGTCAGAGCACACAAGCAAAGACACACAGGACGTCAGTCTGGTAGAGCCAAACGTATTATGTAAAAGGTACTAGCCAAGTGTGTCATATGTTTGGCATTTGTGAAACATCTACCATTGTGTTGTGGGCTAGCTATTGCTAATGTTTATGGTTTTTAATAGAGCTGCAGTAGGTGCAGATAGGCCTATAATAATAAAAGTGACAAATGGAAAAACAAAATAATAAATTGTAGCCTGTATCCTGTTATCAAACAAGTTGAAGTTGGGTGGAGACAGCAGACACGTAGGCCTAAGGTGTGCTTTTTTGACCCTTGTACTTTGTGCATCAAGTCAGGAAATTAAAGTATGTCCAATTTACAGTAAACATATTCACATACACAGGCAGTCTTCACTCGGACTCATCTTCACTGCACAGCTATAGACTTCACTTTTGATAACATGGATGGTAAGGCATAAGTTAATTGATTTCAGTTTGTCTTGGTTTAGTTAGATTTTTTTTTCATAATGTGATAAAAAAAAAGTTGATTAAAATTTGATCCTTTCTTCACTGAACTGAACTGTGTTTTGTCCACATCAGTCTGCTGGTGTTGCAGCTTGACACCATTCTTCATTCTCTTACTGTAATATGCTAATGCAGCTATTTTCTAAAAACTGAATTCTGTTTTCATTGTGATTTTTGACCATTGAGGATTTTCATCAAGTGTATCTTATAGATAAAAACAAGCAAAAGACAAATGTACAATATTACTGAACTTTATTCTCTTTCAGGGTCAAACAGAAGAATTGTCATCTTGGGAAAAACTGGAGCTGGGAAAAGCAACCTAGCTAACACCATATTTGGAGAGAATGTGTTCGTTTGTTTGCAAAGATCGACCACAGTCTCAACTCTGGAACGAGTGAATGTCAAGCAGAAACCAGGTCTGTCAATGGAAGAAAGATCACTTTGATCGACACTCCTGGTTTCTTTGACACAGATAGATCTGAGGAGGATATTGAGCGTGAGATAGAGAAGTATATCAAGGAGTGCGCTGCTGGGCTTCATGCTTTTCTCATTGTGCTTAAAGTGGAGAAATTCACAGAGCAGGAGCAGGAGGTCATCAAAAAAATACACCAATACTTTTCTGAAGAAGTCTTCAAATATGCAACAGTTGTCTT